TATCTAAAATTTATTAATTATAAATACATTATGGGTATCTAAAAACATTATGGGTGTTGACAAACTCTAGTTTACATCATTCTTAAATTTTGAGAATTCGTAATAAATGTCTTATTTTTTAAGAAATACATTATTAATAAATAAAGTAATTTTATTTTCTTTAGTCAATCTAAAAACTCTAGGAAAGTACTAAGTTAAAGGGTACTCGACCTTGTTTCCAATACTTATGGAGAACTGTAATAAAGGGTACTCAATACTTCGACTCTAATGTTAGGGGAGGACTATCAAAGACATCGATTCCAATAATAGGGGAGCTTGATAAACATACGCGATATATGGATCCAATACTAATGAATTCTAACTTATTGATAATTTAAAACCTTAAATCTTTTTCCTTATGGAACTATTTTCATGATAATTTCTGGTGTGGTTTGAAGTATTTCGGTCGCAATTCCTGTAAGTCAAAAATCTCAATCCAAGTTGATGAGACCTCGATTCCAACAAGGTAGGAATCATTGCTTTTAAAATGTTACCGACCGCATAATGCATTATTCAGCCACATAATGCATTATGCAGCCTAGAGCACATCACTGCAAACCGGCATATGCCAAAAAAAGTGACGTGTTGTCATGTGCAATCGCATCACCCACATCAAAATTTCTTTATGTTGTTTACTAAATTTTTCATTTCCTAATTCTTATCTTTTCCTTTTTTTCTGGGGGGGGGAGGCCAGGCGGGGGGCCAGGTGGGGAAGGGGTCAATGCCTTCAACATCTTCAAGTAACAAGAATCCAGCATGGAAATATGCTAAACTCAAGAACCCTAAGGATTGAAATTGTGTCTTTTGTACTCTATGTGGTAACACTTGCATGAGGGGTGTTTTCCAGCAAAAGGAACGTAAAAGCACGTCCACAAGCAACCGATGAGATTGGAAGAGAGATTGGGGATACATAGATAGCCAAGAAAACATTGTGATATTAGTAGACAAAGGAATTCAGCCAGCTACGATATTTTCTTGGAATTGTAGTAGCTAGGTCTAAGTATGGTATCAGTTCATCTCAAAGAAAGTATGTAATAGATTTTTGTCAAAATTAGGGATACTAGCAGCTACACCGGTGGATATGCCTATAGATCTAAGTAATCAATCATTAACAGATCAGAGAGAGTAGTTTGAAGTTCCAGGCAGATCCAAAAGATTTGCAACCAAGCCTGTCTACCTGACAATTAATCAGCTAGATATAGCCTTTGCAACGAGGTAGTGAGTCAGTTCATGAATTCTCCTGGGACACCAAACTAGAAGGTTCTGCATCGAATTTAAGATACCACTAGGTGAGGGCTTATCTCCAGGCCAAATGGTCATTCAGCATTAAGGGTTATTCTGATGCTGATTAGATAAGATCTCCATCAGATAGAAGATCTACCACAAAGTATTGTACTTTTGTTGGAGGAAACTGGATGACATGGAAAAGAAAGAAACAAAATAGTGTAACTAGGTCTAGTGCAAAGGTAGAACATAGAGCAATAGCTCACACTACGTGTAAGTTAATGTGGCTGAAGACCTTGATACAACAGATGGGATTCACAATTAGTGAATTGATGAAGATGTTTTTCAATAATTAAACTACCAATTATATAGCCAGTAACCTTGTGTTCCATGAGAGAACAAAGCATACTGAAGTGAATTGTCATTTTATTCGAGAAAAAGGTCACTACTAAGCAGATATCTACTCCATATGTGAAGTCAAAGGATCAATTAGTAAATATATTCACCAAAACTCTTGGTTTTAATCAGATTCAAAATGATTTGTTCCAAGCTAGGCATGGATGACATTTATGCTAGCCTGGGGCGAAGTTAAACAATATATGTTTATATATTTAGTTTAGTCCTTTTCTGTGTGTCTACAGGGTATTCTTGTCCTTACAATACTTAAGGACATTTTTGTAATTCATTCTTATGACAAACAAGAACGGAAGGGGTGTGTGGTCATCTAACTCTAACATGACAGCCCCCCTCACTTCTTCCTTCACTTCTTCTCCCTCACATGTTATCTGTCTAACTCTTCTCTCTTATTCTCTGTCTCTCTCTAGACTTCTCTTTCCATCTTCCCATATTTCTCTACTTTGTTTCTTACATACTTAATATAGATAAAAGAAAGAACAAACGAGATCCATTTTGTGAAGTCTTTTTCACAAGGTTTTAGTGAAAGAACAACAAAAGGAAGTTAAAAAGACATCAGTGAGTGTTTTGGACCAAGCATAAAATCAGATTCGGAAAGTTGTAAGCTTCTAATTTTCATAGTGGATTGTAGCATTTAGCCCATGATTTCCTTCTTGTTCAGAAGGGTCTTCCATTAAAGTCGATGAGCCTCCTTGAATTTCTAGTTATTTGCTTTCAATGGATGGTTTTTGGTTCTATGCATTATTTCTATAGCTTTGTGGCTAGTTTGCATGTATGTATATCGGAGTTGCCCCCAATAATATGTATCATCATGCTATTTGAATTTTGAAAATAGATTGAGCTGATATTAGGTCATAACTGAGCTTAAGTCTGACCAAAGTAAGTTGTCGAACATGCCGAGTTTGTGCTCAAGATGTTTCAGATGTATTGGACCCAAGCCAAGTCCAAGTCAAGCCTCTTAACTTACAGGCCGAACCCAGAGACTTTGAACCTGCCTAGACGCAACCCACTTTCAACCTTACGAATCCAATCATCTTAGTCCAAGTCATGGCCCCTCTTGCCAACCCTTTGCAACCTGACCAAGGCTCTTCCTTAATACTTTCAATTCCAGAGGGGCCATCTTGCAGCACAATTGCCATGCATGGAGCCCCTTTCCTCCATGATACATACTGAGTTTGCAAAGGGCATGGGCACCCTTCACCGAACTAAAGAAGTCCATCCCTAGGACCACCTGGTAGTCATCCACAGGCACCACGGATAGCCATAGGTCTATCTTGCCACGCCATCGCCCAATGCAGATATCCACCCCACAAGCAGCAGCACTGATAAGTTTGGCATCAGAGATAACTTTCGTAACCCAACCCATCTCCTTAGCAAACCATAAGCCTAACCGATCCAGCCTCTTCCTTAGAGACAAAGTTGTGTTGCATCAGTGTCAATCATGGCCTCTATGGCCCTTTTGATTTGTACCTCCACATATGTGAGACACTTACTTGGGGCCTTGGGTCTCTCTGTCTTAGCCTTTATCCTCTTAAAGAACTGCAGTGACCCCATTTAAGACTCTGTGATGTCTCCAACTCTCCATCCTCATGGACATCTAGCTTTGTCACGAGGGTATTGTGGGCCTTCCTCTTAGAGCACTCTCGTGCCTAATGGGGTCCATCGCAAATGAAGCATCTTACACTCTGTGGCTTGGACGTGTCTGAATTGTTCTTATCACCCTTGCCATTCATGCCACCTGAGGGCTTTCTAAGCCCCTCTTTAGGGTTGGAGGCCCTCTGCCGGTCTCTCCTGCTGTGGCCTTGGTCACTCTTTGAAGGTCGTTGGCCATATCTCCTAAACTCCACCAGTGGCTCGGCTACTGTTATGGCCAATGCAAGATCGGGTATGCCTCATCATTGGAGTTTTGTTCGGCCCATGGTTGCAAGCCATCCATAAGTTAAAGAACAAGTCCTTCTCGGCCATGTCAGGAATCTCTAACATAAGGGTTGAGAATTCCTTAAACATAGTGTTTAATTGACCTAGTATGCCTTAGTAGTTTTAGGTTCTTATGGTCCAAGTACTCCACATTCTTGAGGTAGAATTGCCCCTTGATTTCTTTCTTGAAATCCTCCCAAGCATCAATTATACGGCTACCCCGTTCAATATCTGCATGCCTTCCAGGCCACCAGAGTGTGGCGTTTTCATAGTTGAGCTACATAGTTGCAGCATGTACCTTGGCCTTTTCATCCCTCAAGGATATTGCCTCGAAGCCCCTCTCCATTTGCCACAAGAAATTGTATAACTCCCAGGCATCCCTAGACTCACTAAAGGTTTTAGGATCAGGTGTGAATACCTTAAGGGTCTTTGGGGCCACAATGCTTCCGTTGCTCACCGCTCTCTTGCATAGGACAAGGGCACTCCTGATCTCATCAACTTGATCCTGCAGCTTCACCAAGATTGCTATCATCTTGCCCTCAAATGATTCCCTCTCAAATTGTTTGTGTATGTCATGTCATTTGGGGCATCCAACATCCCATCCTGAGTTCCTCAAGACCAACCTCAAGGCCCTCTATTTTGTTACCAATCTCACCAAACTGGTCTTTCCCATCAGCCACGACAAGCTCCAACTGTGCTAGCTGTTTGTCTATAGCAGCCAAGGTCTTGGGACTTGTCCCTTTTCCCCTCTTTCTTGTTGACATGACCTCTTTCGTTGTCAATCACCCCACTTCACACACGAGTAAAGTAAGCTCCCACAAGCCTAGCTCCAATACTTGTCACGGTCTTAGCAAAGCCCCGCACCTTGACCGTGCGGCACTCGTGCATTCAACCATTTTGAGGATGAGTCAGCCTTCTCACAGTTGTTTGCACCACTCATGCACAAGCACCACAGACTAAGCACAATAAAGATGCAAGTGCTTTTCAGTTATTATTTCAAAGTAGACCTATCAAGTTTTCGTAATCTTGAAAAGAAAACTACAAGCAGATTGGTGTAAAGAACAAACGCATTTACAAATATGGATATCTAAAGCAAAGATCTAAAGAATATGTGCTTTCTTCCAGCAAAAGCTATTACTTAGAGAAGTAATTACTAGTTGTTGTAAAAGAAATCACATACAAAGAGCCACAGATCATACAACCGATATATCTTTCATCTGATCAACACCTACAACTCAACAAATACAATCTAAATTAAAATGTCAACTAGCGAGTAGCTACAAGGAAAGTAGTAGAATTTTAGATCCATTCAGTTTTCTTTTTTCTTTTCCTTTATCAACAAATAGATACAGCATTTAGAGTTGTACACATGAATGCAATACATATATCCAAGTAAGGAAATGGACCTTGTATTGATTGATACGCCGATTCAATTTTTGTATGTTAACCACTTTATCCTTGATATCAGTAACATCATCTTGCCCAAGCTCAAAATCATCAACAATCTCTGGAGCATCCACTGGGTCAACAATAATATCATCTTCCACAGTGCTGAAAAACCAATGTCAGATTTGTGCATGACATAAGAGATCTACAAAACTTGGTATATATCTTTCAAAATAAAACCTCGGACCAGAGAAACAAGTTCTAGCTAAATGAAAAGTTGAAGTTAGTTTACAATTACAAAATACAGGAATCTCTAGTCCCAGATTGAGTTGATTATATTTCACAGGGGAAGCAGGATGGTAAGCCAGTAGAAATACATTAAGAGACAATTTTTCATAGAAATTACCTAAGTAATATTCCATGACGACATTTTATTAATAGCCCATAAGAACAAGAGTTCACATCAAACTATACCGCTCCCAGCAACAAGGCTATTGTATTCTATAATTTAAAATTAGGATGTAATGAATGCAAAGTAGGTGATTTACAAAGGAAACTTAACAGCCCCCACAAACCCCCCCCACCCAACACCCCTGCCCCAAAGAAATAAATAAATAATAATTATAAAAAAAAAAAAATTCCCCGTTTGAGGACAGTTGACAGAGGATTGAGCTTTACATGGTCATGAAAAAGGCCACCCACAGGCCTGGTGCTCGACACAGTCATACATACCAAAACATGGGTAGTGTGCATCCCTCGGAAATTTAAAAAGGTGGGGTCTGGTGCTCAACAGTGTAACAACTAAACAAAATCGATGGTCTATACAAACTCAATGGGACCCTCCATGTGATGCATAATTTGACACTTTGCCTTTTTCTTTTGCACTAATTCTACAAGCCCCCACAATGCACACGTGGTTTGAAGTTGTTGGAGAGGCAATTTCCAATTCTGTCCTTCCATAAAAAACAGAACCAGATTTCTTAAAAACATTATTTGCAAGATACTATTATGTATTTAACAACGCACACTTGTTGGGTGCATTTTTGGAGTACCTGAGCGCCAATGAACTACACACGTGGGTCAACATGAAAGACAGGCAACAGACACCAGAAAACTATGCCAATATGGGTGTCCGAAAAGTTTCATCTTTTGGATTCATAGACATGGTGTATCTAACATGTGTACAGATTGGACAAACAAGACACATGCCCGTTTTGTAAGACATGTATCTGTTTTATTTTGTAAGGCGTGTATCTTTTTTATAATATACATGACCTTTTCGTAAGACACGCACACCGTGCAATTGGACACACGTGTATGATTCTTGGATTTGGACCCACATGTTCTAAATTCTTGAGTAATTTATTACTAAAACTCCACAAATTAATTTTTTAATAGGAACATATATTTTATGGACTCATTAGGATGTGTCATATTGGACTAGGCAAAATACAAGTAGCTAACTCAGATTTTCAGCATTCAAGTCAATCGCAGATTTTCATATCCATGACCTCATAACATAGACAGGGATGTATAATACTAATTTATTGCAAAAAGTTAATAATATGAGACATTGATCTCATAATTTACCAATATTTCAAGGGCTCCTTTTAACTTACCACTAAATCATCCATGTTTAAAATACCAAACTCTCTCATAAACTTTACCATTATTTAAAAGCAAGATATTAATGTGAGTAATAGGTGTTTCAAAACACCAATACCTCATTGATACATCAATATTCGTCGACAAAATTGGTGTTTTGAACAAAAAAATTATCTCCATTTTGATGGGGCAAAATTTGAAATTGCCCCTCACACAAATTTTTAACACTTCTGACATGTGATTCCAGGAGATTCTTAAAATTAGGCCTAATGAAATAGGCGAAGTGCTGAATTATGCATCTTTTGGGACTGATTTGATAATTAGAGAAAAAACCATATTCAAAATTCAACCAAAAATATCCAGGGCATGTAGAGAAACTAGTTTACTATATCGAAACTAGTCATGCAATATTAATTCCATAAGAATGTACCCAAACTAAGAAATCTTATAGTAAACATAAGTGTCAATTAACATGGAAACTATGAATTTGCGATCTACAACCATAAAAACCAATGTTTAAGAAAAGGGAATCATTGGGGTTCGTCGTCCACCCATCAATCTTGTCATGGGTCGTGGACCCTGACCGATCAGGACCTACGAATAAGGAAAATATTTAATCATCATCGTCAGAGCCTTTTCCCAACTAATTGGGATCCGCTACACAAATCCTGGTCCACTATTCTGCTCTATTAAGGGCCACACTGTCGGTGACGCTATAAGTCCCCATATTTTTTCTCACTACTTCCAACCATGTCCTTTTGGGTCTACCCCGTACCCTTTTTAAGCCTTCCACTTGAACTAACTCGCAGCTCCCAACAAGTGTTGCACTGGATCTCCACCACACATGACCAGCTCACCTAAGTCTACTTTCTCTCATCTTATCGCCTATTGGTGCCACACCTAAATTCTCCCGAATGTATTCATTTTCAATTTTATCTGTTTTTATCTTGCCACTCATTCATCTCAACATCCTCATCTCAGCTACACTCATTCTATGGGTATGTTGTTTCTTGACCATCCAACATTCCGGCCCATAAAGCAAAGCTAGTCTCACAGTTGTCTTATAGAATTACCCTTCAGCTTCATCAGTATGCGGCGATCACATAAACTCCAGTTGCACATCAGCACTTTGCCTACCCAGCTCTAATTCTATGTGCAACATCATCCTCAATTTCTCAATTTTCCTTGATTATCAACCCAAGATATAGAAAGTGAGCTCGTTTTGGTATTTCGTGGCAGTCAATCTTAACTACTTTTCATCTCTGCTACTATTATTATTAAACTTGCATTCCATATATTCTTAGTCTGGATAATTTTAAAACCTTTAGATTCTAAAGAATCCCTCCAAGCTTCTAACTTTGTGTTGATGTCGTTTCAAGTTTCATCAATCAAGATAATGTCATCCGCGAACAACATGCACCACAGTACCTCATATTATAGGTGCCTAGTCAGGCCGTCCATAACTACAACAAAAAGGTATGGGCTCAACACTGACTGCTGGTGTAGACATATTGTCACTGAAAACTCACTCGTATCTTCACTAATTGTTCGTACACTAGTTAGCACTCCCTCATACATATCTCTCACAAACTAGATGTGGTGTCTAAAGACTCCGTTCTTTTCCAACACCCACCGAATCAAATCTCGAGTTACTCCATCATTAGCTTTCTCTAGATCAATAAATACCATGTGGAGGTCTTTTTCTTTCGCCCTCAACTTCTCAATCAGTTGCCTAAGTAAGAAAATCGTCTCAGTTATGGCCCACTCTGGCGTAAAATAAATTGGTTTTATGATACACTCCTTTCAAGCCTTAGCCGTTGCTCAATCACTCTCTCCCATAGTTTCATTCATAAGTTTGATCCATCGATAGTTCATACAATTCTATAAGTCTCCTTTGTTCTTGTAAAGAGGTACCACAATACTTTTCCTCCACTCGTCTGCCATTTTCTTTGTTCTCAGCACCTTGTTGAACAGCTTGGTAAGCCAGTTAATGCCAATCTCCTCCATGCACTTCCAATCCTCTATCGGATTACCATCTGGTCCTAAAGCCTTTCATATCTTCATCCTCTTCAAAGCTTCTTTCACTTTCGATATCTAATCCTATGAATGTATCTATGACTTCTGCCCTCATTTATGCTAACGGTTCCTTCTACTATCATGTTCCTATTGTTTTCATAATTTAATAATTTTTTAAAATAAACTTTTGACCTTTCCATGACCTCTTCATTATTCACCAAGGTCATTTGATCCTCACTCTTAATGCATTTAATATGGTCTACATCCTTACACTCTTTCTATCTTATTTTTACTGATTTGAAGGCATTTTTTTTACCTTTTTCTATTCTCAATTTACTGTATTGATTATTATATGCTTTAAGTTTAGCTTTTCTTACTATTTGTTTTGCGTTTTTTTAGCATTTCTATATTCTTCTAAGTTTTGATCATTTCTATTTGCATTGCCAAGTTTATAACATGATCGTTTTTTACTAATGACCTTCTGAACCTCATCACTCCACCACCAAGTTTTCTTATTGGAATTTCTTTCCCTCTAAATTCTACCAAAACTTCTTTTGCCACTTTCTTAATACAATCAGCCATCTCATTCCACATTATATTGACCTCATGTTCAAAAATTTTATTTTCCTTCTAAAGCTAATTTATCTCTAAATAAATTTATTTTCTAATTTTTTAAATTCCACCACATAATTCTTGGACAGCTATTAATTTCACTCCTTCTCTTCCATCTTTTATGCAGATGTGTCTATAACCACAAGCCTATGTTGATCAAACTTTCTCCTAGGGTTTATCCCTAAATAAATTTATTTTCAAATTTTTTGAATTCCACCACATAATTCTTGGACAACTATTAATTTCACTCCTTCTCTTCCATGTCTTTTATGCAAACGTCTATAAACACGAGCCTATGTTGATCAAACTCGCTCCTAGGATAACCTTACAGTCTTTACATGATAGTCGATCTATCTTATTAACTAGGAAGAAGTCTATCTAGCTTTTATGTGATATACTGTTATAGGTTATTAAATGTTCATCTCACTTTTAAAAGTAAGTTTTTGTTATTTCTAGGTCGTAAGCATAGGAAAATGCATAATAGTCACACCATCTCATTTTTTCACCAAACCTATATCCCCATGTACCCCTTCCTATCCTTAACAATCCTTACCTACATGTCTATTTATATCCCATCCTTAAAAGATAATCTCTCCATTTAGTATGTCTTAGACTAGTCCATCCATGTCCTCCCAAAATTGTCTCTTAGTTTTATCCTTTAGCCCTACACTCCTACTTGTGGTGCACAAACACTAATTACATTATTTCTCCTATTATAAGTTTAATTAATAAGAGCCTATCACCCACTCTCTTGACATTAATTATTTTATCTTTTAAATCTTTGCATACTATTATGCCTAATCCATGTCTATTATTATCCTTTCCTATGTACCAAAGTTTATACCCATCTATTTCCTTCGCTTTTTCTCCTTTCCACTTAGTTTCCTGTAGACAAGCTATGTTTACTCTCCTTCGTTTATTGTATCCACTAACTTCATACTCTTATCAGTAAGTATTCCTCCATTCCATGTGGCTAGGCGAATCCTATTGTCTTGGACTAGCTTCTTTACCCACACTAGTCCATAATGTCGTGGATACCCTTGCCTATTTTTCATTGTAACAAGACAGCACTGAGGTGCATCGCTTTTGGGGAACGCCCTAGCTAACCCTTGCTCATTTCTAACTATACCCCAGTTTTAGTGCAGTGCAGCGCAGCACTTACAGAGAATGCCCTAGCACAAGCAGATATTACAGATTTTGAATTCATGAAAAACATTGGCAAAGATTTATGTTGGCTGCCTACCTAACACAACCCACCCCCTTTACCCAGGCTTGGGACGAGTTAAGGGAAAGTTGAAGCTCTTCACCCTTCTTAGACCACGGGAAAATATTTAAAAAGTAAAAAAACACAAAATTTAATATAATTTTGGGTCTGCGCCTAAGATTGTTTAAGGTTGGCACCTTATGTAAACCTCACAGACATTTGCATATAGATGTACATATATAGAACATATAAAGACACACACATAGATGATAAATATATATTATATAATGTAGTATATTTATATTAAAAAGGAACACATCAAGTATTTGAACCTCAAACGCTGTCTAAAAGGTCAAGAGGAGTTAGCTATAGTCCTCTTTTAACTTTTTAGTAAATAGGATAAAAAGCCCATTCAGCGCAAGAGCCAGTACAGTTTTCAGAGATGAATCCTGTGATCCCTGACCCGGATCACTATTTTTGAAACAGTGTTAAAAACAAAGATACAATGCATTCAACAATTCCCTCAATTAATAAAAAAAAGAAACTCAACAATTTCATAGAAGCATAATGGCGTGTGTAGCATAATTTTTGCCTAAAAGGAAGAGGTGCAATTTTTTCATCAATTGGACCAATGTGAATATCCTCTCAGTTCATGATAAATTGTTTGTTGTCTAATGTTGTCACAAGTATACAGTATAGAAGAAACCTCCAAAATGACAAAATATCCACTAGGCTACATGATAAATAGATATTGTCATGTGCCAATAATATTCTTGATGTTGAATTATTAAGCATCTATGTCAATCATGCGCCGCTTGTCAAAGTTGTTTCCAATTTAAGGGATGCTATATTAAAGTTTCCGACAAATTTGTCTGCTATTTGGTCCTAAAACATCACATATGCAGTACGTATCGCCATTGGCATCACTTTTTCTCTCTCAAAGCGACAATCAATTCTAGTTTACATTGTCTCTCATGGAAGACTTGACTAGAAGCAAAATATATGGCAGTTAGATTGGTGCAATTCACTTCCGCAAGTGAGTAGACTTAAAAAAATAATCTGAGAGAGAATAATATTCAACTAGATTAAGTGTCAAGCAATATGGAGCATAGTTCTATAGTTTAACTTAACTAGATTTCACACTCTCTTTTGTTCTTCCATAGCCACTTGAGACCTCCTATTCTCCACTGATCTAAGTCAATCAGCTTTGGAAAATGGGGTAAATTCATAAATGAGACAACAGAAGTATTCCCTTCCGAAGAGAGAAGAACTTAGGTCTCAAGATTTGGAATACAGCTCCTAGGGAATAGGTTTTAGGTTTTACACCTCAAAGAGTGCATCATAAGAAAAATGCATTCCGTTGACATCCATAAAGCTTGAGTACAAAGAATTGCATCAAAATGCTCATGATGCCACGAAAAGGTCCTTGGAGCCTGTTTTAAGTCCATAAAAGAGCTTCATGAGGTGGACAAACATAAGTAGAAATTGGGAATACGAGCTAATTACCAATTAAATAATATGTGAAATAGAGGTCTAAGGTTTAGTAACAATACAATAAAGCTTCAACAATTGTCAACCATGTGCTGGGCATCTTAATATAACTACATATAACATTTCTTCTAAATGAAAAGCCCATTCAGGCTCAAAAATAAATAGCAAGAACACCTAAACTTAAATAAAGCATTAAATAGTTAGTTCACTCTAACATCAGCAAGAGCTTTATCAACATTAGTATTTATTATGGTAGAGAAGAAATTGTAGGTCACAAGCCCCTCAAAAGCCTAGGAAGTCTTACTCTATATCTCATACATTTGGAATTCAACCAAATTTAGCCCAATAAACTTGATATCCATCATCTATTGTTGACTCATTAAAGCTCATATAGCTCAAAAACAGCAATCTACAGTACATAAATCACCAACTACACTGGCGATATAGTTTTCAAGGAGCTGCATGTGGGTTGAATACCCCAGAAACATGGATTCAAATAAGAGCTCCATATAACCTATTCTGTAAGTCCTTTGGATGTAATTGAAGGGTGCAATGGCATAAGATTGTCCAATTTTGATATTTCTTACACCAAACCCAGATATTTTATTACTCCAATCCAAGTATTAATCTATTCATAAGTAGGTAACATTCCATCAATAGAGCCATATAAACATTACCAAATAAAAGGCCCCACTGAAGAAAGACATAAGCGAACTGTAGCCTTCTTCTAAGCTCAAAACTTCACTAAATTAGAGAGAGAATAAGATAGAGAGAGAACCTTCTAAGCTCAAAACTTCACTAAATTAGAGAGAGAATAAGATAGAGAGAAAATGAGAAACTAGAGAGAGAGAAGGACCCGATCATGGTCATCTTGAAAGAGGACTTGAGTTGGAGGTCGGAGAGGAGAGTGGAATCGGAAGAGAGCTTTGATGGAGGCGCCTTTGGATAGAGGAGTTTCTGGCGCTTGGGAAGGACGTTCGTAACCTCGCATATGAGCCGCTTCAATTCGCCCACCGAGTCGTCGGCACAGACTCTGACTGTGTAGTCGCGGCCGCTCCATTTGACGGCCAGAGTCACCTCTTCATCCCCTCTGCTGCTGCTGCTCTCCGAACACAAAGCTGCCGCACCATCGCACGCCATTGTCACGTATAACACCCTCTCTCTCTCTGTATACTAACCTCTCTCTCTTCTCTCTCTGTATACTACCCTCTCTCTCTCCTCTCTCTGTATACTACCCTCTCTCTCTCTTCCCTCTCTCTCTTTTCCCTCTTCTCTTTGCTTTCTGGGAGGAGCGGGAAGCACCTTGAAGCCAGGGGCCTGCGCTATTTCTTCTGCGACGACAACGCTCCCAACAAAGATCTCCAGAGCTCCGATTCCAACAATTTTGATATATGGGGGCAGCGGATATGTAGTCGTCCCGCAGGATTAAGTTGTACATTAAAACCCTATACTTTGTCACCCATTAGATGTTTCCGAGATTCAATCTTAGGACGTACTACGCACTTCGTTTCGGGAAACTCATTTTAGAGATGGCGCGCGTACTATGCTGTACTGGTGAGTGGTACTGGCACTTGCGTTTTTCGGGCAGAAATCTTAGATAGGGAATTTTGGCATCCAATGGCCACATGAGAAATTTCAATACACACGCATGATGGGCTTCGACCAATGCTTTGCTTCGGAGCCTTACTATGTTTTGATAAAAAAAACCAAGCAATTCTTTATTCGGCCGATTTGATCTAAGATTTTAGATTTTTTTAAAAAATATTAATATTTATATACATTAAAACAATAAAAAAAATTTAAAAAATCAAACAAATAAGGAAAAAATACATTTTTTTTATATTCTATTATTCAATTTGTTGATATTAATGAAGTTAGATGTGGTTAAATTTTTTGACATTCTACGGAGGCCTAAACTATAACTTATAGTCTTATTCCATTTATGCTTTTTACCAAAAGAGTTGGTTAATAACCTAATTTCACTTGTGTGGACTATGCTCTGGTTGTTTCCCACAAAGGGTAGGGAGTTCCTCGACTTTGTATAAAATGGTAAAGACCCTTCTTGGCTTGAGGCTCGAATCCTCTATTACGTTGCAAAGATGTTCATGTCAAACTATTTTTAAATGCTAAACAAAAAAGGTGTGGGTTGCTCAAGGTTGCAATTTAAAAAAAATCCAATTAAAGCGCACCTCTAAATTTTATCATAAATGTAATTTTGACATTAAAAATTATTAGGATGGCTTGAAAATCCATTTTCATCTTTGATTATAAAATTTTATGCTCTAAAAATGGTTCAAATCAAGTAGATCTAAAAACACATGAAAATCTTGAAAATGGACGG